CTGAGATGAAGGGCTAAAAAGTTTCTTCAAATGAATGACCTTCACCTATATTCAAGGTCACAGGGTTCAAATATGTTAAAAGTATTATAAAAAAAAAAAATCTTCTGAATAACCAAATCATGCCCAGGGTGATGATATTTAGTCAGTAGCATACTAGGATCAAGGGCTACCAAGTTTGATTAAATGTATGACCTTGAATGATATTCAAGGTCACATGGAGCAAATATGTTCAAAATATAAATAAAAATAAACAACTTGTTCTGAATAACCAAAAGGCTCAGTATGTTGATATTTAGTCAGTATCATGCTGGGATCAAGGACTACTATGTTTGTTAAAGTGAATGACTTTGACTTATATTCAAGGTCACAGGGTTCAAATTTGTTTAAAATCTTTAAACGACCTCTTCTGAATAACCATGGGTCCCAGGATGGTGATACTTTGCAAGTTGCATCCTGAGATGAAAGGCTGTAAAATTTGTTCAACATAATGACTTTGTTCGACTTTCAATCACAGGGGTGAAATGTTTAAAAAGGCATAACAGGTTCTTTTGAATGAATTCTAATCATAAATACTGATATTTTATTTTACCTGTAGCTTTATTTTAGATAACTTTTAAGGTAACAAGTGTGAGATTTATACAAGGTGAGCGATGCAGGCCCATTGGGCCTTTTGTTTGAAGATTTTAAGACATTTGACCCCTGTGACCTTAAAAATGGGTCAAGGTAATTCAATTGAACAAACTTAGTAGCCCTTCAGGCAAGCATGCTACAGGCACAATATCAGGACCCTGTGCGTTTCTGTTATTGAGAAGAAGTTTTTAGCTCACCTGGCACGAAGTGCAAAGTGAGCTTATGCCGTGGGGCGGCGTCCGGCGTCAATATTTTACTTTAGACGACTTCTTCTTAATAACCAAAAGGCATAGGGTGATGATATTTGTCCAGAAGCAAACTAGGATAAAGGGCTACAAAGTTTGTAAAAATTAATGAACTTCACCTATTTTCAAGGTCACAGGGGTCAAATATGTTAAAAACTTTAAACATCTTCTTCTCAATAACCAAACTGCCAAGGGAGACGATATTTGGCCAGTAGCATGCTTGGCTGAAGAGCTACCAAGTTTGTTCAAATGAATGACCTTCAATTATATTCAAGGTCACAGGGGTCAATTGTCTTAAAAAAACTTTAAACAACTTCTTCTTAATAACCGAAATGCACAGGGTGATGATATTTGGCCCGTAGCATGCTGAGATGAAGGGCTACAAAGTTTGTTCAAATGAATGACCTTTAACGATATTCAAGGTCACGGGGGTCAAATATGGTAAAATCTGTAAACAACTTGTTCTCAATAACCAAAATGCCAAGGGTGATGATATTTGGGCAGTACCATGCTGGGGTAAAGCGCTATCAAGTTTGTTCAAATGAATGGCCTTCATCCATATTCAAGGTCACAGGGGTCTAAAATGTTAAAAACATTAAACAACTTCTTCTGAATATCCAAAATGCACAGGGTGATGATATTTGGCCAGTAGCATGCTGAGATAAAGGGCTATCAAGTTTGTTCAAATGAATGACCTTTGTCATATATTTAAAGTCACAGGGGTCAAATATGTGAAAAACATTATACAACTTCTTCTGAATAACCAAAATGCACAGGGTGATGATATTTGGCCAGTAGCAAGCTGAGATGAAGGGCTAAAAAGTTTGTTCAAATGAATGACCTTCACTTATATTCAAGGTCACAGGGGTCAAATATGTTTAAAATCTTTAAAAAAAAAGAAATAACAGGTTCTCTTGAATGAATTCTAATCATAAATACTGATATTTTATTTTAACTGTAGCTTTATTTTACATAACTTTTAACGTTACAAGTGTGAGATTTATACAAGGTGAGCGATGCAGGCCCATTGGGCCTCTTGTTTGAAGATTTTACGACATTTGACCCCTGTGACCTTGGAAGTGGGTCAAGGTAATTCAATTGTTCAAACTTAGTAGCCCTTCAGCCAACCATGCTACATGCCCAATATTAGTACCCTGGGCCTTTTGGTTATTGAGGAGAAGTCGTTTAAAGATGTTAAGACATTTGACCCCTGTGACATTGAAAGTGAGTTACGGTCATTCATTTGAACAAACGTGGTAGCCCTTCATCCCAGCATGATACATGCTGAATATCAGTACCCTTTGACTTTCGGTTATTGAGAAGAAGTTTTTTGAAGATTTTAAGACATTTGACCTCTGTGACCTTGAGTGTGGGTCAAGGTATATCAATTGAACAAACTTAGTAGCCATTCATCCAAGCATGCTACAGACCCAATATCAGTACCCTGAGCCTTTTGGTTATTGAGAAGAAATAATTTGAAGATTTTACGACATTTGACCATTGTTACCTCGAAAGTGGGTCAAGGTCATTCATTTGAACAAACTTGGTAGCCCTTCATTCCAGCATGATCCCGGCACAATATCAGTACCCTGGACTTTTTGGTTATTGAGAAGTCGTTTGAAGATTTTACGACATTTGACCTCTGTGACCTCGAAAGCAGGTCAAGGCCATTAGTTTGAACAAACTTGGTAGCCCTTTCTTACAGTATGCTACAGGCCCAATATCAGTACCCTGGGCTTTTTGATGATTGAAAAAGAAATCATTTGAAGATTTTACGTCATTTGACCCCTGAGACCTGAAAAGTGGGTCAAGGTCATTCATTTGAACAAACTTTGAAGCCCTTAATGCCAGTATGCTACATGCCCAATATCAGTACCCTGGGCCTTTTGGTTATTGAGAAGAAGTCATTTGAAGATTTTACGACATTTGACCCCTCTGTGACCTTGAAATTGGGTCAAGGTCATTCATTTGAACAAACTTGGAAGCCCTTCATCCAAGTATGCTACAGGCCAAATATCATTACGCAGGGCCTTTCTGTTATTGAGAAGAAGTTGTTTGAAGATTTTAAGACATTTGACCCCTGTAACCTCGGAAGTGGGTCAAGGTCATTCCTTTGAACAAACTTGGATGCCCTTCATCCAAGCATGCTACAGGCACAATATCAGTACGCAGTGCCTTTCTGTTATTGAGAAGTAGTTGTTTGAAGATTTTAAGACATTTGACCCTGGTTACCTCGAAAGCAGGTCAAGGTCATTAGGTTGAACAAACTTGGTAGCCCTTTATCACAGTACGCTACAGGCCCAATATCAGTACCCTGGGCTATTTGGTTATTGAGAAGAAATCATTTGAAGATTTTACGACATTTGACCCCTGATATCTCAATAGTAGGTCAATATCATTCATTTGAACAAACTTTGAAGCCCTTTATGCCAGTATGCTACAGGCCCAATATCAGAACCCTGGGCCTTTTGGTTATTGAGAAGAAGTCGTTTGAAGATTTTACGACATTTGACCCCTCTGTGACCTCGAAATTGGGTCAAGGTAATTCATTTGAACAAACTTGGAAGCCATTCATCCAAGTATGCTTTAGGCCCAATATCAGTACGCAGGGCCTTTCTGTTATTGAGAAGAAGTTGTTTGAAGATTTTAAGACATTTGACCCTGGTGACCTCGAAATTGGGGTCAAGGTCATTCATTTGAAGAAACTTGGTAGCCCTTTATCCAAGCATGCTACATGCACAATTTCAATACGCTGGGCCTTGTTATTGAGCAGAAGTTGTTTGAAACTTTTAAGACATTTTACCCCCGTGATCTTGAAAGTGAGTGAAGGTCATTCATTTGAACAAACTTGGTAGCCCTTCATCCCAGTTGTTTGTGTTTTTCTCCGAGGAATGGTAAGCCGCTTTTGAGGTACAAACTTCTGCGATAAATGAGCATCGTTGTTTGTGATGTTGACACACTTCATGACCCTCCTGTAGGGCAAGTCAACTTAACATGTATAAAAGGTGCAATGTCTATCCTGAATTCCATAAAACAATATATGATAGCTTAACAGAAATTAAATGAGATGCTATATAAGATATTTCATATGCTGTATAAGATATCTCATTTGTTAATTTTCAGTATTCCGTCTTTGCGTTTTGCAGAGTTATCTTCTCTTGGGAGCAGGTATTGATTGTTACGTCATTGGTTTGTGTGAGAAAATTACTTTTTTTTTGTCAAAAATTGATGACGTTACTCTCACAAACAAGTGACGTAACAATCAATACCTGCTCCCAAGAGAAGATAACTCTGCTATACGCAAAGACGGAATAAGATAAGCTACCTGTATATGATATAAAAGATATCTCATATACTATATAAGATATCTTAAACAGGAACAAGATTTTAACAAAATATCAAAAATCAAGTCTCCCCACCCAGAATCTCTCGAGGATCTGGTACTAGAAATGTCGGAGACCGCCTCACGGGTGCTTGAAATGGCAGTCTCTGAGAGACGTGCTCCTAATGATAATCGGGTTAAAAATTAGTTTCCCATTTTTAGCCCTCCTGGTCCGAAAGTCTTCCGTCCGTCAACTTTTCCTTTAAAACGCTAACAGTTCTTAACATCTTCATTGATTTTGATTATTGGTCCAAAAATCCTTATCCAAAGGGGACTAAATTTTGTATAAACAGAGGGCGCATATGCCCCCTAGAAGCAGATGGGGATGGCCCTATAGGGCAAATTAATCAATCTTCATAATCCTCCTCTTTTTGTAGAGTGATTTTAACTTAATTTGGTCTAAAACGTTTTTTGGCAAGGGGGCCTCAATTTTGTATAAACAGAGAGTGTGGCCTCCTTTGGGGAGGAGAGACTGGGCCCAATTGCAGGAACATAGTAATAATTATTTTAAATACATCGTTAGAGTGATTTAAAAAATATTGTGCAAAGGGAACTCAATATTGAATTAATGGAGAGTGCCCCCCCCCCGGCCCGGGGGGCAAAAGTAGGGGCAAAAGCAGGGGCAAAGGAAGGGGGATTTTAATAAAAATTTGTCTTAATTATCCTAAGTGGTATCGGACTCAGTTTTGTATTACAACGGAGAACAACGCAGAATTTTAAATAATTCAAATTTACGACTTAAAGTGTTTTAATAGATGCAGACTTGTCAATTTGCACGATAATGGTAGAGGATAAGGTAGATGTGTCACATTATGTAGACATGACGATTAAAAGAGGTGTTACAAGCCCAAGACTGCTGCGCAATTGCGGTTCGTGCAAAGTTTATGATTCTAAAACGTTGAACGTACAATTCTGCTCTCAAAATTCAAAACCTCATCGATAGAAAAAAAACGAAACATTGAATTTAACATTGGGCAAGATGCGAAAAATGTCAACAAACGATGCAGAAAGTGTCATTTTGAATTATTCCGAAGATTGATAATAACAAATGAATGACCTTCCCTATCAGATTTTATAAGCATACAGTGTATATAAATAACAATTTGAAATGTTTAAATAGATACAAGAATCCCTGGCACTTTTGGTCCTGTATGTCCCTAATCAATGCTCTTATTTGTGATCTGGAGTTGATTTCGGAATGTTCCTAGGATGTTTGATGGCGTCCGACTTTCTTGAAGACGTTGTATTTCTTGCCGCTTTCGCTGTGAAATCTCCTTAAGCTTTGCCACTTCATCTTCATCCTCGCTGGAATCTCTGGACAAAATAATTCAGGTTAACAGAAAACAGACCATTACTCACATATTGTTAAGAATTGAACACCTTTGCAGCAGCTAAGGCAGATTTAAAACGGATTCAGTCGTTTGAAAATAAGTGTGATGACCTCAATAGCATCAACATTTTATGTCAGACTTCAGCTGATTTCAAAATAATCCCCATATACAAAAGGTAAGATTCACCCTGATTAGATGTTAATATAACTCGGTAGTTATTTACAGGTTCACAATGGTTGATATATACAAGGAGATGCGCATGGGTGGTTTATGGTGGACACGATTTTTGCACTCCGACTGAACACTGAAGAGTTTTTGCAAAAATGACACGCAGGGCAAGTCTGTGACACACGCCGTGTTTGGAAACTATTCTGTCAATTTGGTTAAGCCGAATATGGCCACAGAGCCGCATGTGTAAGTCCAAGTTCTAATGCACGACCCCCTCCCCGCATTTGGTGAGTCCTAGCCCGCCATGATAGGCACAACTATGAACAATGCTGTGACTTTTGATAACGTCACGGAGGATGATAACATCGTCGTGCTAGAACCCGTACCAGTAACTGGGTCTGTCACATTCACCCCTGGCCTAACATATCGTAAACGAAGATACAGATGTGACAGTGGTGGCGAGTTTCGAGTGTGCCTAACTAAAACAAAGATACTTAAAACTACCAAAGGGGGGAGAAGTGTAGTTAAACCCAATCGAACAGTGTTGAAGCAAGCGGACAGCAAAAAGAATAAGCAAAAACGAGACGAAAGTGTTATACTTCACTCGATACCGTAATATTGTGACGTTTCCCCTGTGGTCCTTTCCAGTCACACGAGTAATGTTCTAGTAATACTAATCTAACTGAGCGCTCCCACTACTGATCGCCCAGAACGTGCATATATACACACACCCACAATGATAGCTCGGCAGCACTACCTGTACCTATATTGTACAATATCTAGAACTCCTTTTCTTTTTCCTGTATCAATCATTTTACACAGTCATTATCATATACATTTTACATATTTAGCATACATCAACCATACATATACTTACATTATTGTCCATAAGTAATCGTTGTTACACAAAACATATGCATGTTTTATGTACTTTAAATTTATATGTGTTCAGAAGTTGAGACAAAATGAAAAAAGAAGAATTATTCAAGGATATACTTGACACTTTCCCATTTCTGCTGCATTCGGGGTCAGTATATAAGCTGAATACAGATCTAAATTTCTATAGTTTCTCATAAAAAAATTACAGGTTTTCCACTCAGGTAATAGTTTGTACTGTCCTCTTAATGATATATATTTTCTTAATCAATAATATTAAAAGGTTTATTCCAAGTGGTTTGACATCTTCAGTAACCCCAAATAGGAAAATATCAGAGGGTTTTCCTATAACAATATCATGCTCATTTAAGACTGAATTGATCAGACAAGTCCACAATGACTGGCTATGTACACAGTCCCAGAAAATGTGGTATATTGTTTCTGATGCTCCACTGCAGAAACTGCATTCACCGCTCTCTAGCAGCTTTCGTTTTTAACAACATAGAGTTGGTGAAAAACAAAATCTGTGAATGATTCTATATTGCAGACTTTGTAATTTTGAATCTTTTGTCTCAATAAATGGTAAAGTATATACCTGCTCCCATTTATTATCATTTAGAGAAATGTCTAATAGAACGTGCCACCTTTCCTGGGACTTCACTGGATTTGCTATTAATGTAGACACAATTTTCCTGTAGAAAAACCGAGAAGGTTTTTCGATATTTCTGAGCTGTTTCAGATTTTCATGTATAATTGTTTCAATGTTTCCCCCATATAAGTAAATTACTCTCTTCCAGCCTCTAGGTATAGCGCTTATAAGGCTATTGTAATTCATAAAGTTCAAAGTGATTTGATATTTTTTTACAAACTGATTATATGTCAAGAGATTACCATGATCATCTATCAAGTCCTTAATATAGAAAATACCCTCAAAACATAAATGTTTGAAAAATACTGGGTTTTTTTTGTTTATCTTTATGTTAGAGTTGAACCATAAGGGCTGAGAGGGAATATGTTCAAGGGCTGCGGGGAGGTCCTTGGTAAGAGACCCCCATATCTGTACAATTTCCTTCCAAAAAATACCTAAACTTCTGTGTTTTGAAACTTAAATAGTCCAGTTTTTGTTAAGGTCCAAATCTTATCCCCTCCAAAGATTCCTAAATGACCAGTTTGAAACTTTTGAAACTTTTCTATAAAGTTGTCTTCAAAACAGTCTTCTTTTGATAAATCATAGGAAATTCCTAAAAGTTTAAATTGCCATGGTGGTTCCATGCTATTTTATGTCTCGTTTCAATTTCCTCACCGCAGTCCCTTTTTGTTCCAATCCATACAGCTTGGGGTTTTTCATATTTTGTTTTTAAACCGGAACATTCTTCAAATATGTCGATCAAGTACAGACCCCTCTCTAATGATTGCTTGTCATCATCCAATATAAGCGTATATAATATAAGTCATCAGCGTATTGACTTACTAAATACTCCGTGTTATTTATCATTATCCTTTTTATATTAGGGTCAAACTTTAAAGCAGAGCTCAGAGGTTCAATACATATAATAGAAATATACGGAGAAAGGGGGTCCCCTTGTTGTACACCACGGGTTTCATTGAAAAAATTGGTTAGGTGACCATTGTTCTCGACAGCTGCCGTAACATTGGAGTATAACGTTTGAAGCAGTTTATGATAAAATTGCTAAATCCAAAGAAAGATAGGCTTCTTTCTATGAATGGTCACTCAAGGGAATCAAAAGCTTTCTCAAAGTCCAGCATTAATAAAATACCAGGCAAGTTTTTGCCATCAGATTTGGTTATAATATCATTTATAATTCATGTACACTCACCTATATATCGACCTTTTACAAAACCTGATTGACTTTGACTTATAATATCTGTTAAAGAAGGTTTAATTCTATTTGCAATAGAAGCAGGTGCAAGTTAAAATCGACATTCAATAAAGTAATTGGTCTCCAATTTATTAAATACAGTTTTGATTTCCCTTGTTTTGGTATACATTTTATGATCCCTTGACATTGAGAAATAGACATCTGTTCATCAGTGAATGACTGATTTTTAGATTTTACAAGGAAATGATGCAAGTCTTTCCAGAAAAAGATGTAAAACTCCACTGTAAATCCATCAAGACCCGGAGATTTACTATTGCTCATATGCTCATATAGAACTCTTCTTGTTAACTTTGAGTTACCCTTAAAGCAATCTAACGAGCTCTCAAAGTGCCCCTGATTTATTAATGTAGCGGACCTGAAGCAGCACGAAAACTCTTCCTTGTAAGGTATGATACTTTCGATTGAGCGATCGTAATGGGTAACAGTCTTATTCAGACATACCACACATTTGAAAGCTCGCTCTCTAGTATACTTACAACTATCAAGTAGTGGTCCTTTCCTCGTCTCGCTTCCGACACAGAAAGGCGAATGGCCCTGGCAATGGACGCTGGCCGAGAAGCCGTAGCAAGTTTCAAGTTTTATTTTTACACTCATGACACACGAGGTGTGTTACAAGTGGTCAACATTTTAATACATTTCAATTAAATAGCAAAGTGAGAACAGGTTGTTTATACAGCATGTAAATATATAATACTACAGAATAAAAACACTGCATTTATCTTATGTCACTTAAAGCCTTAATTGTTTTCTTTAGAAAACGACTTATTTTAGGTAAAACATTTAAATTACAAATAGAAATCATTCCTTTTAGCTTAAAATTGCTGGGGTTTGTATTGTAATAATTAAGGATAAATAATTTTCTTATTGATGATATATAAGTATTTTGGCATTAAAACAAATATTGTGGTTCATCACCTATACCTGTTTGACATAACGGACATATTCTATCTGATTTTGGAGTTGCATTCCAGCGTTCAGTCTCTATTGGGAAATTTCGATTAGACGTTCGGAATTTACAAATAGTTTTCCTATCTTTTTCATTAAGTTTTGTTAGATGTGATTCATACTGAAAGTTTTTCTTAAACATGGAGTAGAACTTACCTGGAGAAGAGTTTTCTATCTCTTGAAACCATTTCTGTATAAATTGATCTTTTGAAATTGATCTGTTGAAGTACAGCTTTGAAATGATTTCTATTCATACATGTAATACATGTATTTTGAAAATTCCACAAATTGCTGTAATTATTCAATTTAAAATGCAATTGTTCATTTGATTGTAAAAAATATGTCATTTTATATATCAGACTAGATAACTTGCTTCCGCCAGTTAACAACTTAAACCAAAACAGGATCATTCTTGTCTTGATTTCTACTTTCAGAGGATGTCTCCTGGTTTCTCCATAAATCATGTCATTCGGAGTAGAATTTTCACATTCATGATTCTTTTACAAAATTGCAAATGCATTCTTTCTATGATAATAGTGTTTTCGAATACCCATATCTCACAAGCATACCATAGAATCGGTGAAACAAGAGAATCAAATAACTTAAGTTGCAAATCGACAGACAATGGAATATTTCTTATTTTCTTGTACAATACATATAGTGCCTTTTTAGCTTGTTCAGTTGTTTTTGTTTTTGCTTTACTAAATGTACCATTGCTATAAAATAATATGCCCAGATATAAATAAGAATTTTGGAATTCGATATTTTCTTCATTCAATTTGAACACATATTGTTGTCTACGTTTTCTTTTTTCAAAGGTGACGACTTTCGTTTTCTGTACATTAATAGTCAACTTTTAACTTCTACAATAGTTTTGAAACACATTCAGGGCATGTTGTAACCCCTTCGGTGTCTCAGCCATTAACACAGTATCATCCGCATACAGTATTACACACAGTTTACGATACATTCCAATGTTAATTTGACAGTCTTTCTACATCATTCAGATATGCAACATCATTTTGGTTTAAAAAATCGTCAAGATCATTCAGGTATAGGGAAAACAAAAATGGAGATACATTTTCCCCCTCTT